TTTTTGGCTAGATTAGAAGTAATTTGTTGTACATACACGGCTACTTTAATTCCTACATAGCTAACTGACCCTAACAATTTCTTGAGATATATAACTTAAGCATAACATGGAAAATGTATGTTAAAATTACTTTCTTAAAGAGCCAATATTTTCCACACCCTGCTTTTCAAATAAATGTTAATATTTTTGTTCAGATAATTGGAGGTAGTTGTTACCACCCAAGAGGATGTGTTCACCAACAATGTGTCATTATTAAAAACCTATAATGTATTTCAATATAACTGTATTTCTTTCTATAAGTGTATTAAACCAACAACAGTGCTCTGGTAACTGGGTGGTAGTCTGTTTGCCCTGCAGGGATTTTTTTAAAGACAGATAACAAAGAATATTCTATAAAAGATGTACAAGATCAAAAGAACTTAAACAGATACATAGATGTTTAATTATGTTCTGAAACAGCTAGTGGTTTATATTACCTTGTCAACTCTCCTAGATTCATCACAATTCTCTCAGATTTCTCTGAGATAGTCCCAATTACTGGGAATTACTACATTCCCGCAGACAATAGGGTGGCCACATTCCAGGTCCAGCGTTGGGGACAGATGAGAAAGAACAGTGATGGTTCACTTTTCCCAATATCCCTCCCTTCACATATTACAAGCTTTCAGAGCTAGAGTGGAATTAGCTGTCAATCGTAGCTTTATATGAGGTGGTAAGTGAAGAAAGAAGGGGATTAAAGTCTTCCAAAGGCAACTTCTCTCTGTGTGATTCTGTAATGAGAATGACAGCAGGACTGAGGCTTCTGGAAATTCTCACCCAGGCCTTAGGTGTAATCAGTACATAGGGCGTTCCAATAAGGTCCCTCCAGAGCGAGGGAATAAGGTCAGGAAAAAGTCATCTTCTGAAGATACACTAAGCAATAATCATTGTGCTGCAACAGCAGCACCACCAACAGAAAGACCTGGAAAACAGCAAGATCTAAGATGTGTCTATGCTTTCAGTCTAATCAACCACTCTGTTAATACTTCACGTACACCTCCATGACTGTACTTCACATACTTTAGCATAACTGTTGGTTTGTGCAGCTGTATCATCTGCCTAGTTGTAGTTTAACCCTCAGAACATAAGACTCTGGTGCAGAATTGGTGTCGAGTGAGTGAACCAGAAATATAACTAAAGAAGGCAGACTTAATAAAGCACAATACGGGTTGGGCATTTGGTGTAGTAGTTAAGACATCAGTTGAGGAACCTGCAGTCCATACAGGGGTGTCTAGGTTTAAGTCCCAGGTCCTAACCTGATTCCAGCATCCTGCTAATGTGTACCCCAGGAGGCAGAAGGTAACAGCTCAAGTACTTGGATCTCTGCCATCCACACAGAAGACCTAGCCCAGCCTGAAGTGTTGCAGGTATGTCCCGTCACCCAGTAGATGAAAGTGTACACAGTCTCTCTCAAATAAATAAAACGGTTCTCTGCCGGCAGTATATAAAAAGAGCAAATGAATTTAAACTGTTAGTATAATCTGGAAATGTCTAAGAGAAATATTCAATTAGCAGACATGAGCATTTTGATCATTAAAATATGTACCTATCATAGTAGAGATAGGTATTCATTATACTATTGCAAAATATGGGTTGATTTCTTTCAAGAACACATAGTTCTGATTATGCAAGCTCCATGCACATTCCTTCATTTCTAGAACATTGATTATTTATTGTATGCAAGGTCCTGAGGCAGGAACTGGACCTGTAATGACAGCAATTATTACCAAGAAGCTTACAAGCTAGTAGGAGGAAACCAACATCTTAAAACAAAAAGTTAGACTCTTGAGGTAAAAGTTTGCTGCCAGTAGAGACGGGCAGGAAGAGGGAGGGATTATGACAGATGTGTTCCCTAAAGGAAAACACAGAATAGGAAAGATAATGTATCATCCGAGTCTTACCAAAGGAAAAGGTGGTCAGCAGGGTGAGAGGGGGCAAAGGCACATTTTAGATGGAAGAATTATTGAAGAAATAAACATGATGATTGGTTGAGTGTGTGGAAGGGGTAAAATGTTCTGATGAGATAAGATCCTGAAGAACTTTATATTATGTGGGAAGAGGTTTTGAGTTTTTACTGTACAAATTGGGAAGTGGCAGAGTATATTACTTTACCAGAGCTGCATAAAAAAGTACCATGGATGATTTGCTTAAACAGCAATTTACTTTCTTCGAATTCTGGATGCTGGAAGTTCAAGACTAAGATGAGAGAGGGTTCTTACTTCCAAGAACTCTCTCCTTGATTTACAAATGTTCATCCTCTCCCAGTGTCTTCACATGGTCTGTGTATATCTGTGTCTTAAACTCCTTTTCTTATGAGGACACCAATTACATTGGATTAGAGCCCATCCTAATAACTTAATTTTAACTTAATTGCCTCTTTAAATACTATCCTCACATACAGGCACTTTCTGAGTTACTGAGTGTAGGGACATAAACATATGAACCTGTGGGGAACATAATACAGCCAGTAATAGGCATAGCTCTGATTTAGGTAACCCAGATGGTAGGGTAAGCCAGTGCAGGATTAGGAGCACAGAGACTAATGCAATAGTCTTGAGAGACGATCAGAGCTCCAAAATACAAACAGAGGCAGGTGTGCAAAGAGGACAGATTAAAAGAGTCAACAGGAAAACAATGTTGGGTCAGCGAGTCCCGGATGCTCCACTTCTGGTCCAGCTCCCTGCTAAGGCACCTGAGAAAGCAGTAGAGAATGGCCCAAGTCCTTGGGCCCCTGCACCCACATGGGCTACCCAGAAGATGCTCCTGGTTCCTGGTTTCGGATCAGCTCAGCTCCAGCCATTGTGACCATTTGGGGAGTGAACCAGCATATGGAAGACCTCTCTCTCTCTCTGTACCTCTCTCTGTAACTCTTTCAAATAAATAAAATAAGTCTTAAAAAAAAAAAAAAAAAGAGCCACTGGTCTTCAGTATTCAGTATTCAGGCTCTTCAAAGTAGCCCACAAAGGTTTCAACAGTTTGGCCCTGACCCCTCAATGCATTCTCATGTTGTGTCACTTGACAGCACCCACACTATCCTCTTAACATAAAGACCCTCTCAAAGTCTGATCATACTATGCTTTTTAAAGAAAAAAATTTGGCCGGTGCAGTGGCTCACTAGGCTAATCCTCTGCCTGCAGTGCCGGCACACCAAGTTCTAGTCCCAGTTGGGACGCCAGTTCTGTCCCGGTTGCTCCTCTTCCAGTCCAGCTCTCTGCTGTGGCCCAAGTGCTTGGGCCCTGCACCCGCATGGGAGACCAGGAGGAAGTACCTGGCTGCTGACTTTGGATCGGCCAGCACGCTGGCCATAGCGGCCATTTGGAGTGTGAACCAACGGAAGGAAGACCTTTCTCTCTGTCTCTCTCAATGTCTAACTCTGCCTGTCAAAAAAATAATAAAAAATTTTTTTAAAAATTATTCATTTATGTGAAAGGCAGAGTTACAGAGGTAGAGGAAGACAGAGAGAGGTCTTCCATCTGCTGATTTACTCCCCATATAAGTGGGGCCGATTCAAAGCCAGGAGCCAGGAGCTCCTTCCAGGTCTCCCACATGGGTGCAGGGGCCCAAGCACTTGGGCCATCTTACACTGCTTTCTCAGGCCATTAGCAGAGAGCTGAGTTGGAAGTGGAGCAGGCAGGACTTGAACCGATGTCCATATGAGAATCCGGCACTAGAGCCAGGGCTTTACCTGCTAAGCCACAGTGCTGGCTCCCACACTATGCTTTTCTCAAAGCCACACCTGGGTGCCTGCTCCTCCCCCTGCCTAAAACATTCCTTCCTCTTTTCTTAGGCAGCTGAACATCTTTTCAGTTAAAGGTGGTCAAGTGTTACCCTCTAGCAGGGAGTTACTGCCTCCCTTGGACTCCCAGAAGCATTCCTGCAGACATTCTCATATGCTGCTACAATTACTTCAGTCTACAGCTTGCCACTCTCACTGAATTAAAAACTTCTTATAGGCTGAAATGGCTTTTTATTGTTGTTTTCCATAAATATTGATAAACACATGAGGGTACTTCATAGAGTTCATGGAAAATGGAATTAGAAGGTAAGTTTATTTTGTTGCAAAAATTTTTTTAAATCTATGCACATGAAGAGGTCTTCAAAAATGCATGACAAATATGTATTATAAAACACTTGGGGTCAGTGCTACGGCTTAGTGGGCTAAGCCTCCACCTGTGGTCCTGGCATCCCATATGGGTGCCAGTTCATGTCCCAGCTGCTCCTCTACCAATCCAGCTCTCTGCTTGAGACCAGCAAAAAGCAGTGGAGGGTGGCTGAAGGGCTTGGGCCCCTGCACCCGTGTGGGAGACCTGGAAGAAACTCCTGGCTCCTGGCTTTGAATGGGTTCAGCTGAGCCATTGTGGCCACTGGGGAGTGAACCAACAGATATAAGACCTCTCTCTCTCTCTCTCTCAATCTCTTTGTCTGTAGCTCTGCCTCTCAAATGAATTTAAAATAAATAAATAAATAACTTACTCATAGATTTAAAATTTTTGCCCAAAAATAACTTGTCTTTTAATCACATTTTCCAGGAACTTTTTGAGATACCATGTATGAGAATCTAAGTCTTTACCTGACACCATGTAGATTATACCTTGCCTATGCTTCCTCTGTAATATTTCTTTTTAACTAAAGCACTAGGAAAAGCCTAAAGCAAGAAAGTCAGATTTTCCGTAAAAGAAACTAGATATTTTCACTAACTGGCAAGGAAAATTCCAGGGGAAAAGCCAGGCACATCAGCAGTTTCCAATTTGTCACCACTTTAATCCATCTTGTAAATCACTTCCAGTTTAATTTTGAAGGACAAAACACTGCTGTCTTCATGTCCTTCTATTTTAAAACTAATAAGTAGCTCCCTTTGCCTATCTGATCAAATCCAAGTTCCCCAATCTGGTTTTGAAGACCTTCCACATCCCGGTTGTGTTTCACACACAACTCACTGTCCACGCAGCTGTCAGAATTACCTTCCTGAAGCATAGATAGGATTATTCTCTGTCGTGCTCAAAACTTTCAGGCTCCTCAAGACGGAAGATAAATTTAAAATTCCTCAGACTAGTTTTCTACTATTTGAGCCTGGGCTTTCTTTTCTGGCATATCTCCCAAGCCCATAGATTGCAATGTTCAGCTACCTTCCGTGGTTAGTTTCTGCTGACTTCACAAACACCTCTTCCATTCTCCTGTTCTTGGGTTTTCAGTGTTCCAGTTGTTCCTGAACCACCCACGATGTTCCCTTTCCTACCTGCAGTAAAAGTCAGCAATCTCAATACATAAAACATTCCGACTTTCTCTACTGATGCTCATTATCTATTTGGGGCCCTGATTAGCATTCCCTGCTCTTCCTTATATGCCATACAGTTTCTCATGATAGTGCCTTCTCCATGACAATTGTGTAAGTACTGTTATCACGATGATCAACATGCCCTCATCTTTGAGAATTAGTCCCTAAATGGCTCCATTTCTCTCCTTCCTTTTCTGGTAAAATTCCTCAAAAAATCTATTCATATATGTTATCTCAGTCCCTTCCCTCCTATCTTTTGAGCTTACTATCTTTTGAGCTCTTATCTTTTGAGCTTACTTACTTTTCATCCACCACTTAATGACAGCACTGTTGTTGAGATCATCAGTAAGGTGTATGTGTTCAAAAGTGAACAGGCGGGGCCGGCACTGTGACGCAGCAGGTTAACGCCCTGGCCTGAAGCACCAGCATCCCAAATGGGTTCTAGTCCCGGCTGCTCCTCTTCTGATTCAGCTATCTGCTATGGCCTGGGAAATCAGTAGAAGATGGCCCAAGTGCTTGGGCCCCTGCACCCATGTGGGAGACCTGGAAGAAACTCCTGGCTCCTGGCTTCGAATCAGCACAGCTCTGGCCATTGTGGCCAATTGGGGAGTGAACCATCGGATGGAAGACCTCTCTCTCTGCCTCTCCTCTCTCTGTGTAACTCTTTCAAATAAATAAATAAATCTTTAAAAAAAAAAAGTGAACAGGCAATACTCAGTCATCGTCTTGAACTAACAGAACCATGTGACAGAGGTAATTGTTCCTTACTGCTTGGACCATTCTCTTCTTTTGGTTCTTACTCCTCCAGCTACTGTTGAGTCCTTTCCCAGCTCCTCCACTGCACATGAACTGCCCCGACCTCTACAAGTTGAAGTAGCTAAGATTTGCTACCTGACCTACCTGATTTCCTACAGCTATTCTTCAAGGAAAACTAGCACACCTCTGCTTCAGCACCTTTATTCTAAACGTTCTTTAGCTGGAATGCTGTAGATGGCCATAGGCTCCCTCACTTCCATAGGTTTCCTTCCAAGTTCTAGCTTATCACAGAAGTCTTCTCTGACTACTTAATCTTTAGCAAACTTTCCCCCCTTCATTCCCTAACTTTACCTTGAATTATTTTTCTTCACAGCACTTCATTGCCACCTGACAAAGTATATCTCTCTTTAGAGATTTCTTCTTTTCCTGTCTATATTTTATTAAAACTTCTGTCCTTGAACTTCCAGAAAACTTAAAATTAAAACAGTCATTTATTAGGGCACATGTTTGGTGTAGTGGTTAAGATGACACTTGGGATAGCCACATCCCATACTGGAGTAAGTCTCAACTTTGCTTTTGATTCCAGCTTCCTGCAAATGCTCACCCCAGGAGGCAGCAGGTGCTAGCTCAAGTAGTTGAGTACCTGTCACTCATATGGAAGACCTGGATTGAGTTTTGAGCTCTTGGCTTTGGCCTGACCCAGCCCCAGCCGTTGTATACCTTTGGGGAGTGAATCAATGAGTAGAAGATCTGTTTGTCTTTCTGTCTCTGTCTCTCTTTTCAAATAATATGGACAAATAAGCCATGTTAAAACAAGAAACCCTGTCATTTCTTAACTCTTATATCCACAAATAGTATTCCCCTACAATTTAGCAGCCTATACTAAAGCTGGTTTGTGATTATTTAGACTTGCTTTCCCAATTATATTGTAAACAGTATGGCAGACAGCATACCCTACTACCAAATCTTTGTAAACATCTAGTACAAAGTTGTATGCATCATAAGGGATCAACAACTATAGCAACTGCTCCAGAATAGTATCTCCATTTTCTTACTAGACTTCACCACTTGCATATTTAATATGGGTCTTTTTCTGTCTGAAACAGAACTCCTATTTTTCACCCATACATGCTCCTTTTCCACTGCTCCATTTATACTGGTCAACAGAAGTTACCCAATTTTCCTTTTTAAAAAGATTTATTGGGGCCAGTGCTATAGTTTAGTAGATAAAGCTGCTGCCTGCCATGCTAACATCCCATACGGGTGCAGGTTTGAGTCCCGGCTGCTCCACTTCTGATCCAGCTCCTTGCTAATGTGCATGGGAAAGCAGTGAAAGATGGCCCAAGTATTGGGGCCCCTGCACCCATATGGAAGACCCAGATGAAGCTGCTGACTTCTGTCTTCTGCCTGGCCCAGCCCTGGCTGTTCAGGCCATTTGGGGAGTGAACCAGCAGATGGGAAATCTCTGTCTTTGTCTCTCCTTCGCTGTCACTCTGCCTTTCAAGTAAATAAATCTTTTAATTTAAAATTTTTTAAAAGACTTACTTATTCATTTGAAAGGCAGAGTGACAGAAGGTGAGGGAGAGACAGAGACAGAGAGACATCTCTTCCATATGCTAGTTCACTCCCCCAAATGCCTGAAACAGCCAGCTTTGGGCTGGGCCAGGCTAAAGCTGGGAGCCAGGAACTTCATCCTGGACTCCCACATGGGTGGCAGGGGCCCGACTACTCTGGGCCATCATTCAGTGCCTTTTCAGGTGCATCTATATGAAGCTGAATTGCAAGTGGAACAGCCAGAATTCAAATCAGCATTCCAATGTGGGATTCTAGTGTTGCAGGTAGTATCAACCTGCTGCACCACAATGCCAACCCAGAAAATTTCTTAAGCCCACAGTCTAGGAATCACTTTTATTCATTAGGCTTTTGAATTTTGAGATACTAGATTCACATGCAGTTGTCAGAAATAATACCGGGATATCCTGTGTGCTCCTTACCTATACTATACTGTACAACAATGCATAATGTTGTCATTAGTTTGTGGGGGGCCGGTGTTAAGTAGATTGGTTGAGGGAGGTCTCATTGGGTGGATGAAATATAAGCAGAACATGAAGGGAATGGAGAAAGAGCCATCATGCAAAGAACTGAGGGAAGAACATTCAGGTACAGTACACAGCAAATAAAAGAGGCCAATCTGGAAACTGAGGAGGAGTAGCTGAAGAACTGAAGGAAAATATATATGGCTGGGTCACAGTGATGAAGCAGAGATGTGGGAGATCAGGAGAGAGGTTATGGGTCCAGATGATCTACAGCTTTTAAGGCCATTATAACATTTATGAGTGAGACAGCAAGGTTTAGAGGGTTTTGAACATAATTTGACTTACAAAAGTCACTCTGGCTGCTGTGTGAAGAATAAAGCATGGGAGGAAAAGAAGGGAAGCAAAGTGATAAATAAGGAGGCTCTTTCAAAATTCAAAGCTAGATGATGGTGGTTTAGATGCAAGGTGTAACTTGGGAGGTGGCAGGAACTGACTGGATCGGGATAAGCCTTTCAGGCTAGAATCAAAGAGTTTGTTGATGGATTCGTTGTAGCGTCTAAGAGAGAGATAAAAGTTAAGGATGACTCCAAGATTTTGCTTCGGAGCAACTGGATGGATGGAGTTGCCATTGACTGAGAGAAGAGCACAGAGAGCTCAGATGGAGGATATTTTGTTGGGCTACATGAGTGAGTCTGGTTGGGGCCATGTTGAGATGTTGGGTATGTGTGAATCTAGGATTAACAGTTGACACTGGGGCTATAATTTGGGAGTTGTCAATGTGTAAATTACATAAAGTCATTACATTGGCTATTATCACTTAAGGAAAAGGTTCAGGACCCCTGGGGCTATGCAAAAGGAAAAGGCTTGAAAGATGAGAAGAAGTTAACAACTGGCATTTCTTCTCAACTTTTTTTTTTTTTAAAGATTTTATTTATTTATTTGAGAGGTAGAGTTACAGACAGTGAGAAGGACAGACAGACAGAAAGGTCTTCAGTCCGCTGGTTCACTCCCCAGTGGCCACAAAGGCAGTAGCTGCGCTGGTCTGAAGCCAGAAGCCAGGAGCTTCCTCCCATCTCCCACACAGGTACAGAGGCCCAAAGACTTGGGCCATCTTCTACTGCTTTCCTAGGCCATAGCAGAGAGCTGGATTGGAAGAAGAGCAGACGTGACTAAAACCGGCGCCCATAAGGGATGCCCGCGCCACAGGCGGAGGATTAACCTACTGCGCCACAGCGCCTGCCTCTCTTAACTTCTTTAACCTCACTCTTCAATCACATGACATAACAGTTTCTGAAACACACCAAATTCTTTCCTGTCTCAAGGATTTAGTCTTTTCTCTAGGCTCTAATTTTAGTCACCTTTCTCTTACTCAGCTAAATTGTTACCTTATCTCAATTTTCTTTGACCACCTTAATTGCCACTGATTTTTCTCTGGCAATCCTGATTTGGAGTTTCTTTCACTCTAATTAAATGGGCCCAACCCAATCACCTCTGCCAAGTTACAGTTCTTACTACATTATGCAATTATTTCACTTGTTTTCTGTCTAGAGCCACTACCCTCACCCCCACCCCCACCCCACCCCACTTAAAATTTTTTTTTAATGCTAGAGAGAGAATATGCATTCCTACCGTGGGTTCACTCCCCCACTGTCTGGGATGGCCAGGCTGGACCAAGTGGAATTCGGGAGAGAAGAACTTAACCCTGGTCTCCCTCTGAGCAGAGCCAGGATCGCTGCCTCCCAACCTACGCCCCAGAAGGAAGCTGGAGTGAGGAGCCAGGCTGGGTGTGGAACCCTGGGGCTCCCATGCAGAACACAAATCTTGGCCGGCGCCTTACCCACGAAGCTAAAACCGCCCACCCTCCCACCTTAATTTCACAACTTTACAAAACCATTACTCGATGCGGAACGAAAGCTCAGATATTCCTCCCTGTACGAAACTTCCCGAAGAGCGAAACCCTCATTGTCTTGGCCTTTGTCGCATTCCGAACGGAATTGACATTGCCCTGGCAATCATTTCTGAGCTTTCAGTGATTATTAACGGAATCGCCTGCAGACCACGGACTGCTAACTCGCAAGACATCAGCCGCGGCAGCCCGCGGCTAGCGCCATAGCAGTACACGCCCAGGGCGGCAGAAGGTGCCTTGTGCGCATGCGTGGTTGTTCCCTGCGCGCTCTAGGCGGAACCGGCTCCACTCCCTGGGCCGGTTTAACCACCGCACATGCGCAGTCGGTGTCTGTGCATTGTCGGCGCTGTCAATAAAGTTTTAGTGAACACAGACTCCCTTTTTCTTTGGCAAGATGGCGGAGTACGACTTGACTACTCGGATCGCGCACTTTTTGGACCGGCATCTGGTCTTTCCGCTGCTTGAGTTCCTCTCCGTAAAGGAGGTGAGGGGGATTGGGGCGCGAGGAAGGTGTGGGAGCGGGTAGGGGGCCGGGCAAGGCCGAGAGGCGATGGCTGCAGCCCTCGGCCTGACACACGTGCGAGGCGGCCGCCGAATGCGGTCCCGGCCCCAGCCGTCAGGACCTACCGGGGGGTTACTGTCGTCCCCGCCGGTCGGCAGGGCTGAATTCGGCGGTGGGGAGGAGCGGGGAGCCCCTGCTTCACGTGTTGAGTTGCCGGGGCCGCAGAGGCTTTGGCGTCAGTTGGCTCAGCTGGAGTGAAGCTGTCGCTCTGCTTCCCTTGGGCACCTCGGAGTTAGAGCTTTTGATCGCTCTTTTGAGACCTGGGAAGCCTGGGCTTGGATTTGGGGCTTTGTATGCCAGGACGCTTGAAATGATTTTCTTAGACTTAACATCTCTAGCAGCTTTAATTTCTTTGAAATGAGTTTTTTTTTCCCCTGCACTTAAATAAGTAGCTACTTCCTGGAAGTGTAGCATATTTGGGCCAATGGGGACGCGGACCGGAAAAAAAAAAAAAAAAAACAACGCTGTCCACAAACAAACTCAACATTTGTTTTCCACTGTGTAGATGTACAGGCTTCCAAGTACAAGTGATTGTATTGGTCATTAAAACTCGGTTAGATGTTCAAGATGTTTAAATAAGTCTGTCCTTCTGCAACTCCATTTTAAAACATCTCAGGCCTAAATGTTTGAACTTTAAAGAAGGAGAGGAGCTAAATTTTATTGGGTTTAGTTATACCTAGCTTATTGGAAAATTGATGTTGGTCATTGGAATAAAGTAATATTACTATGATGAAGGAATTAGAAATTTTGTCCAGAAAAATAAATGAATTCTGTTTCTGGAAGCTCTAAATCTGCGGAATGCATTTGGTGTGTCCCAACAGCAATTAAAAATATTTTTTAAAATTCCTACAAATATATGTTAACTTTTTCTGATAGTTTTTCCAAGTGTCCATGTAGTTTTGGTTAATTTGTACAGAGAAAATCCTTGAGTTCATAAGAGCCCGAATGCCTATAGACAACTTTGATGGTAGGAAACAGCAAGTTCATTTTCAGTAATTGTCTAGTGGCCACATAAAGTCTTTCCTTGAAAGGACAACATTTTTGCTTGACTTTTCATGTTATTGCTGTATTTCAGAGTTTGAGTACAGTGGCCTAACCCACCTTCTGCTTCCTTTTGTGGATAACTCACACCAGTAATGAAGGAAGAGGAAAATGGCACGTTTTGAACTCTTTTACCAACTATTAAAGGCAGAAATGCTCTTATCTAGCCTGAAGTTAATATGTTTGTATTCTGTAAACTTGTTTTTTAAGGCAGGCAAGAGAAACCTAAACTAGTTTTTTTTAAAGCTTTTATTTAATGAATGCGTTTTTCATAGGTGCAACTTTAAGAATATAGTGTTTTTTTCCCCCATACCCACCCTCTCATCCTACCTCCTACGCCCTCTCCCATCCCCTTCTTCATTATGGTTCATTTTTAGTTTAATTTTATATACAGAGAACCAACTCTATGTTAAGTACAGATTTCAACAGTTTGTACCCCCCCTCCCACACACAAGATATAGAGTACAATTTGAGAACAACTTTTACAGTTAATTCTCATAGTACAACTCATTAAGGACGGAGGTCCTACATGGGGAGTAAGTGCACAGTGACTTCTGGTAAACTGGTTTTTTCATAGCTCAAGACTAATGCTATGAATGGCAGCTCAGGATCCTTGGAAGATGGATGTAATACACCAAGAGGAAGACAGATGCCAAAGTTATTTAGTTAGCATTCACTAAATCTAGGGCCATGGAATTGTGAGAAATCCAAGGAGGAAAAAAAAAACAAAAACAGATACCTCACCACTAAAATACTTACATATTTTTTAGAGTTGAATGTCTAATAGAAGACAAAAAGTAGTGAGAAAAGTACTGGCAGAGTTATCAGAATTGAGAATCTGTTACATCATCAGTGAACAAAATGGACTTTGTGGAGGAATGGCTGTTAAGTTGAATCTTGCTAGAAGGTTAGGATGCTATCAGTGGTTGTGATACAAGAAGATACTGGAGTAAGAAAAATAGCTCGAGTGCAGGTATTTGGCATGATGGTTAGGATGTTGCTTGGGTTGTCCATATTCCGTATCAGTGCCTGGGATCCAGTCCCAGCTCTGATGATGATTCCAGCTTCTGTTTCTATCTTTGTGTGTTTCCCTGCCTTGTCAATTAATAAACATAAATGACTTTTTAAACTTTTAAACAACCAATTTGATATATTTGTAGTGTGTTGGAGAGTGTAAGCTTCATGAGGGTAGGAACTTTGGTCTCTGCTGTGTTCTGAGGATCAAAAGGGGGAGTAAAAATAGAAAATGTAGATAGGATGCTGAAGCCTTTAGTAGCAGTGATGGAAGGGGCGATTATAAGTTGGAATCCTGGGAGATGAAGTACTGGATAAAGTTGTTTTTAAAAATCTTTCGTATGAATGTTGGCTATGTGGAAAATGACAGTAGAGGTAGAGATGACAGAAAAAAGATCAAATCGCTATAGAAAGAAAGGTCTTCCTTCCGTTGGTTCACCCCCCAAATGGCCGCCACGGCCGGCTGGCTGTGCCAATTCGAAGCCAGGAGCCAGGTGCTTCCTCCTGTTCTCCCATGCGGGTGCAGGGCCCCAGCACTTGGGCCATCCTCCACTGCCTTCCCAGGCCACAGCAGAGAGCTGGCCTGGAAGAGGAGCAACCAGGACTAGAACCCAGAGCCCATATGGGATGCTGGCACTGCAGGTGGCGGCTTTACCCGCTGCACCACAGCACCAGCCCTATGAAGTTTTTTCAACGTGAACAATGAACCTGTGTGACGGCCACCTGGATCAATGTATAGAACATGACAAATCTCCTAAACCTTTCTTCTGACACACTGTAGTCAGTACACACTGTTTCATTTGCTGTTTTTTCCACTCACCCTTGTTTGTGAGAGTCAGCTAAGTTTTTTTACCACAGCCATAATTCATTGATTTTTATTCCAATGATGAATATTAATCCATTTTTTGAGTGTGCTACACTTTATCCATCCCAACACCGATGGACTTGGCTAATAGGTAGTGCTGTTGTGAACATTTTCAGAACTGAACTTTGAATATATATGTACATATTTCTTTGGGGTACCAAGGAGCAGAATTGCAGGATCAAAAAGTAGGTTTGCCTTTAGGAGATAACAGTTTCCCAAGATGGTTGTACAGTTGCCAGTCGGATATGAATATATCCAATTGGTCTTTATCCACACAAACACTGGTATTATCAGTTTTTTTTTAATTTTTCATTGGGTTTTTAATAATTTCAGTTTTTTTGACAGGCAGTGATAGAGTCAGAGAGATAGAGATATATCTTCCATCTGCTGGTTCCCTCTGCAAATGATTGCAACCACCAGGTCCTGCGCCAGACTGAAGCCGGAAACTCCATCCCATTCTCCCCCCGGGTGGCAGGGACACAAGTATTTGGGCCACTTTCCTTGCTTTCCCAGCCACAATATTGGGGAGCTGAATCAGAAGCAGAGCTGCCGGGACTCAAACTGGCTGTCCATGGGATGCCAGGATTGGCAGCAGCTGTGGAACCTACTGCACCACTGCAGCGACCCTTTAATATGTATTTCTCTGTTGATCCGTGAAGCTGAGAACCTTTTCATGTTTCTTGACCATGTAGTTAACTTCTTATGAAGTGCCTTTCAACTGAACTGTCTGCCTTTTCTTACTGTTTTGTAGAACTTCTGTATATGCAAGTACTTAAAAATGTATATGGAAAAATGACATTTAAAAAGTTTATTTTGATGCAGAAGATTTGAAATCTGTGCAGTTTTTTTTTCGTAATATGCATTTTTCCATGAACTTTTTGAAGACCACCTTTGGAAGGTTCAGTTTTAATTTCATAGCTATATCGTGGCATCTTCCTGGGTTTTATCTCTTCCTGGCAAAATTAAATTCAGCGCAGAAATTCCTTTCTTTTTGCTGAATCATCTCCCCCTGAATATTGTGAAAAATCCTCATATATTGCTCAATATACTTAATGTTTATGTAAGTTTGTGTCTATATCACTTTGGCCCCTTTGCTGTGGCTTAAATGTTTCTTGAATTGATAAAGCAAAAACCTGATATAATGTGGTTACAAAAAGGGTGCTAGTTTGTTTCAGGGATGTGGATCCAGGATCCCAACTATTAACTGAGACATAATGTATGTGGGTTAAGGAGAGGCCACATCCGGGAGAGGTAGATAATCATCCTGTGGGTTTGAGAGATAAATAATATGATATAAAAAGAATGTTTCATAGAGTATGTTTCCAGGAAAGCTAATCTTAATATTAATTGGCTTATTTGGGGAACTTCAATATATTAATTAGAAAATAATTCCCTCTTGCAGATATATAATGAAAAAGAATTACTACAAGGGAAGTTGGATCTTCTTAGTGATACCAACATGGTAGACTTTGCTATGGATGTATACAAAAACCTTTATTCAGATGATATTCCTCATGGTAAGTTTTGTCATTAGAGCTGGATCTTGTCCTTTGAATTGAGGATTTGATTAAAGTTTTCTGGTTTATAAAAGAGTTTCAACCCAAAGTCTTTAATTATTTGGATGACTTTAAAGTTCTTTGTGTAACAGCTAATATAAAGGTTATAGGTCTTCTGAAGTATTTTATTTTCTCCCTGCGAAAGATAGGAAAACATGTTCATCAAATGCTGTCAGTTTACAATATGTCTCATTAGAGT